ATAACTTATATAAATCTCACAGGTACTCAAATTATGGCTTGTGAAAAGGATTCTGATTGTGCTCATATCAGATGTGAAACGACCAAGTGTTTGAAGAATAATTGTGCATGCATTAACGAAAGAGTTGTGCCTTTAAAACGTCACCGGATCAGGAGGTGTAATGTTCCATCTTGCGTTAACTCGTGCAAGGCACAAGGCTTGGAGACTAATGAATGTTCAGTATTCCATTGCTCATGCAAACCAACTATGTAATACTTAATAACAAGCTTAATTACGATTGTCATATTTTCAAATTCTGTTGTTATTGCAGAAAATCCAAATATGTAATCGTGAAATAATAATATTTCTTATAACAACACACGTAGCATCAACACAGGCATAAGTTTTCTAATTTCTTTTTGGGTTGAAAACGTTTTCTAAGTTTCAATTATTTTTGACAATTATTTTTTCACGGACTATAATTAATTTGACGAAAGCTTTTGTTTTCACCGAATTTTTTTTTTTGGATTTTAATTAGAAAAAATTGAGTGCTAAATTCATATAATTGTGAAAATCATTCGAACGTGGTATCTTGTCTTTGACCGATGTCTTTGATCGTTAGCGGTACCAATTTTATATGTCAACACAACATAAAGTGAACTTAGCATTCAATTTTTTGATAATTACTTGTTTTCACTTTCAAATTATTTTTTAAAATTTAATTAAAAATTTTGGATTTTAATTAAAAAAATTTCTAAATTCATATAATTGTGAAAATCATTCGGAGGTGGTATCTTATCTTTTACCAAGTTCGTTTTGTCAACACAATATAAAATAAATTTAGCACTCAATTTTTTGAAAATTACTTTTTTCACTTTCAAATTATTTTTTTGGATTTAACTAAAGAAACTTGAGTGTTAAAATTATATAATTTTGAAAACTATTCGGATTTGGAATCATGTCTTTGATAGTTAGCGGTGTCAAATTCTTTTTGTTAATACAATACAATGTAAATTTAACATTCAAGTTTTTTTTTGTTTTTTTCCACTTAGTTTTCAGTTCGTTTGACAATAATTTTTTTTTCTTTTTGTAAAATAGTTTATGTTTTTTATTCTTTCATTTTTATGTAACTGTTTAAGAGATGTAATAAATTTGAGTTGTTTTCAAACTATAATAAAAATTTAGCACTCTGTTGACTTATCTGAGTTTTTTTCAGTCAAACATCCCCACTATTCCAATACGACACACACGTTCACTTTCTTGTTGTTAATTTCTACATTGGGTGTAAATAGTTCCAGAGAAATTTTGCAGAATTGCGGAATATTGCAGAATTTTTTGTGACTTTTTGCGAAATCTTGCGGAATAACTTTAAATTTAAATGGTAACAGGAGAATTTTGTGGAATATGGCAGAATTTTGAAAATAAATAAATTAATTAAACTTATAAAAATATTGATTAAAATTGTGTTTGACAAAATTAAATATTTATGTTTACATATTTATTAAATTTTACAAAATAATAATTTTTATTAAATTTTTTTGTAAACCCAACTTTTCAAAATCATTTACTCAAAATATCA